ATTGGGATTTTTTTTTACCAAAGACATGTAGCAAAATACATTTTGGCCTAAATTTATGACGAAAATTTGAGTTTATTAGATTTTTTTTATGACAGAAATGAGAAAATAATGTTTTTTTTTTCAAAATTTTCAGTCTTTTTTTGTTTACAGAACAAAAAATAAAAAAACCCAGAGATGATCAAATATCACCAAAAGAAAGCTCATTTCTGTGACAAAAGGACATAAATTTGGTTTGGGCACAGCACCGCATGAAAGTAAAATTACCAGTTGAATTAGCACAGTGCCAAATAGCAAAAAATGGCCTGGTCAGGAAGGGGGGTAAATCCTCTGGAGGGCAAGCGATCACAGGTTGTTTTTATTCTGTTGGTGATCCTGTGAGGTTTTTGGTCACAAGTTCATGGTTTGCAAATCCTGGGATTCTCAGCAAACACATTATAGAGGAAAAATCAAACCTCATCTCTTGTCACACAGACAAGAAGTGCAGTGGATGCCCTAGAACTCAACAGAGCTTGGCAGACAGTGAAGAAGGTGAAAGAGGAGAATTAAGAATGCTACATTTGTGCAACAGGAAGAAATCACAGCTGCAAAACATTAAAAAAAAAGAGCCGAGGCTGAGGTTTAGTTTAAATACTTTGTTGGCCACCACTTACAGTACTTTCCTGTTTGCCCATCAGAGCCATGTAAAAAAAAAAAAAACCATCTGTAAGCTTTATGTTAAAATTTTCCCCCTACCATGACATGACAGGGCTCTTGCTTGACTCCAGCTGGAGAACGGGACACCATGGCAGTGTGAAGAATGTAAGTATCATCAGTCATCAGGGAAGAAGGTAGGCTTAGCTTATACAAAGTGCACTTACTCTCCTCCTCCACGTTTTATAGACTTCTTTGGAGCTGCCTGATAAAAAATCTGTTTTTTACTTTGTATTTAAATTTCAACACTGAAGTAAGATAAATTAAGTCAGGATTTTTAAAAAAACGGATTTGTGCATAGACACTGCAAATCATATAAAATGGTATGCTCTGAGTGAGTGTATCACTTCAATGTAATATTAATCCATACATAAACGCAGAAATATGTCACTTTACATAATAAGTGAATTTATAAATATCCAAGTATTCTTTTAAGGGTGACAGATTCCCCTTAATTCAGTAATGACATAAACATAAATTTAATGTACCCTCATTGAAATACACGGATGAAGAAACTACATTTTCACAGCATTTAGACCAGAACGTCAGCCTCACTTTTTTGTTAATGTTAGAGTTACCTATCCCTAAAAGAGTATCTTTTCTGTTGCTCTTTTTTTTCAGAGGAGATTGTGATTTTCACAATCTCTTTTGGAGTTTTGTATTCAACTTTGTGAAGCTGAGCCATCCAGTCTGGATGACAGCCAGCATCATCCAAACACCTCATCCTCAGCTTGGCTGTCAGGGACAATCCCCATGTAATCATTATGCTGCTGCCCACATCATTTGTAGTTGTTGGTAGCAGCATTCTGCATGCAAAGCCAGACTGTCTAACAACACCAAATGACTGTATCAGCAGTTGACTGGTTTAGTTATTGCAGGTAACGTAGACATGCACAGTCAGAAAATCTCTTCGAACTTAGTGCAGATAAATAAGAAGTTATGTATAAAGGCCCATACACAGGATAAGAAAATCATAAAAAAATGTCCATATGAGGAACCATCGGCATATTATCTGATCGTTAATATAGTGCTGTCCACACCTGATTCTGACTTTTTGGATGATAAAAACCAAGGGTGCAAGCTAGAAAATTTTTATTGTATGAGAACACAACGTCTGATTTTCATACAATAAAAATTTTCTAGCTTGCACCCTTGGTTTTTATCATTCAAAAAGTCAGAATCAGGTGTACGGTAATCGTAAGGAGATAATTGAATAGAAAATAATGCGCATTATCAGAATCAAAGAATGACCCTACATTTCCTGTTCTAGTACACTAGTACGCAGCTACGTTTGCCTTTGTCCAACTACATCACGATAAGCACTTTTGTGGAAAATCGGACAATTGGACGTCCAACTTTCTCATAGTGTGTACTAGGCTTTGGAATGGCATTATATAGCAATACTGACTTCTGTTTTATAACAAATATAAAATATTACATACATGACCAAATTGCTTTCTTGCAATCTAAATATAAACAGAAATGCCCAGTGGTCTTTGCATGGCTACAAATTAGCAAAAATGAGATGTGGAAGTGAGGTTATGGCGTTTTGCCAGAACTGTAAATGTTGTATTACAGCACTGACACTTGCAGACACTTATCAGCCCTGATCTGAAGCTAAGCAATAATAGACGTGTTGTACTCTACTATGTCTCTGCACATAATGCTGCACCACAAGCCCATCAACATGCCTGCTCTATAGCCTAGCCATAAGGCCACCCACATGGCAACCCAGCTCTGCACTTTGCAAAACTCAAGGACCCATGGTGATTGTACTTTTTGCAAGGAGTTAGTGACTGTATCGCTGGTATGTGCAATTTAAGTATCTGCAACTGTTTTAAGTAAAGTAAGCAGCATAGATGGGCAAATCAGAGGAGGCAGAAAACTTGTATATCTCAAACTTTTAATGTAGAATGCTAAGCAAACTGTTTAGTTCAAATCCAAATATTTTTACTGTTTTCACCTGGAAAAGAATTTTTAATCTTGACCAATCATTCTGGTAATGCGCACACCTCTGCAAGACAGTAAGATCACTACTACATCTTGCTTCACTTTTTCTGGGTCAGCCCTCTATTTGTAAATAAAGGGGGTATGCAGATTTATTGTTCAGTGATTCGACTGGAGGTGGAGCAGTCTGGCTATGCATTGTGCCAGTCACTGGCCACATACTGTATGTATGTTGAATGCATATTTGGCTTTTGCTCACAGTTTCACTGTAGCTACAGCAAACAAGTATTTTTTTAAATTGTGAATTAACAAATAATGTAAACAACTTTTGCACAGTCAACAAATTATGAAATAGACTAAAGATTACCAGGAAACATATACAGTATATCATGCTAAAAAAATTAATAAAAAATTTTAGACATTCATTTTAATATATTTTAAGTGTATTATACATATGATTTCAAGGAGTGGCTTAACAACTTCAATGCCAAAAGAAATTTAAGTTGGTCTTAATTTAACTAGGAAGAGTTACAGCTGTGTGTTTAACTGCCCTGCTTAAAAACCATAATTAATGCATCCACTGCTTTCTTTAATCATTTGCATTCTTTTATTCTAGAATAGTGTGAACAGGACAAATAATGATTTGAAACCAAAAAGTAAATGGTTAGCAATTAGATTCTTTTGGTAGTCAGTACTGCAATGTACTAATTACAATTACTATAATTATTGTTAATTTTACATAGCAGCTAAATGAAATCATCTAACTGATTATTTGCTGAAGATCATTGCTCATTCTTACTCGTGTGTGGTCATTAAGCCACCTATCACCAAATTATTATACAACAGAAGTTCAGAATCTAAACAGACAGTAGCAAAAAATGCACTAGTGCCAACACGGAACAGATCCTACTAACAATACGGAACATTGGTATTATTTTCAAGTTTTTCACACTGACAGAACAGAAATCCATGATACCAATGCCAATCCACCATAATCTACATGTAAGAATAGTTTAATGTTTCCCGCCCCTTCATAATCAACATGCACTTTAAGCTGTGAGCTAGGCCAGGCCAATTTATTGAGGTTCTGCTACAGTATATACATCAATTAGTTTATTTATTTATTTAATATCAGCATGAACCTATGAAGTATAATTTTAATGTTTTCTCAAATAAATGACACTTTAGGTGCAAAGATATGATCTTACTTTTCTGACTTTAAAATAGAATGCTTGAACATCAATTTACATTATAAATGTCATTACATAGACCCCAAACATTTTACTGAAGCTGGTGCTAATTTAGGTACCAAGCCAAATTACATATGTAATTTATGTACATTATTCTACAAATTATATAAAACATCAACTTCCATCTACAAGTCAGATCCTACTAAGCTAAAATTAGATTTATGTTCATTAAAAGAATTTTGGAACTAAGCCTCAGTTTGAAAGCAAAATCTGGACTCAATGAAGTAAGGGTCTTTATCAATTTAGAAAAAAGTATTCCACTGAATACCAAAATAGGTAGGAAGCAAGTTTTTCCTATCTATAATTTTATATAGTGAAAACACATAAGACTTACATGAGAAATCCATATAATATACTGTAGATTCTCTTAGCTTAAACTGTAATAAACATGACAAAATGCGGGACCAGTTATCAATAATTTTAATGCAGAATACATAAAGGATACAAGTATCCCTGAGGTGACAATCAATATCTAAATGTATCTTTGCCTGATATCAGTTGGGTGCATTTTTATTAATGTGTTTGTATTCTGATGTAAACTTGATAACACATTGTCATAAATTCTTCACTTTACATAATCCATTATCTTGCAGGACATTACTGTCCAGAGACAAGGGCTAACTAAACTTTGTCTTACATTATCATTAGGTGAGAAATCAGTTAAGTCTACTTCCTTTTCCTGAGTGTCACAAAATGTAATAATAGACTATATATACTATCCTAGTAACAGAAATTAGATCTATGCTTCACAATTAATGTGCCATTTACATCATATAAAAAAATCTGCATTGTACTTGGAATGTTTCATTTTGAAATTGCACACATTTTGCATGTCAGTTTGTGTACACTAAACAATGGTAAATCCATGATTTACACATATTTTGCATCAATTATTTTTTGTCTATAATTATAAAAAGGTTTTTACGTTCATGCTAGATCTATCTTGTCACCCAAGTGTCAGGTACTGTTTCATTTTATTGATTTTTTATAAGCAAATGACTTGTTTTTATGTGAATCTGACATGGATCATGTAGCAGAAACTCAAAATGTTGTGAAAAACAGTAAGCAGTAGAGTCATGGCATAGCCATTGAAGAGAAGACATGCGTTGTTCCTTACTTAAAGCCCCATCCAGTCCCCCCAAGGACAATAGCTGCTACCAGGATGGCACCAGCGATGGACCCTATTATAAGGTTGGTAGCACTAGGACCTGTGGTAAAGGATCATGGGAAGAAAAGCATAAGAACCAAAGACAAAAGGGAAACTCAAACAAATAGTTTTGTAGTCATAGAAAAAAAGTAAAAATGTTCAGTCTTATTTAATAAAACAATGCACACTGTATAAAAAGCAGTTAAAAACATTATTAAAGATCCATCCACCACGGACCAAATGACCCCAAAATGAGTCTGATTAAAATAGGTTGCTACACTTTGCACACTGTAAACTGGTCTCTGCACTGTCTTATTGAATAAGCCTGATTATTTTCCCATTGTTATTCTCATCTAGTGAATATACATTTTGTAGCATTATATCAATAATGGTTTGTATTGCTCAAAATCAGGAAATTTGTTTGCGGTTTTTTCCATGTTTGCAGTAATAGCAACCTTGTATTTTTGTCTATTAAAAAGTTGAAGAAAGCACACCACTGTTCCTTTTTTGAATCTAGAAGGCTGAAAACTCATTGTTGATAAAGTAATTAGATAGAAGTATGAAATTGCTTTCCTTCTGTGAAGACTAATTAGCCCATCCACTTAAAGGTTACATTTTGAATGACAAGATTTAAATATCTTCTAATATATGAACTCAGTTTATTCCTGTTTACTCTTCAGAAGGTTAAGAAAAAGGGGTCTTCATAAATTCAAAGAGAACATTTAAACATCTAAACACTATATTGTGACTGGAACATTCCAAACATCAAAGCAAGCTATTTGTCATTTACAAGCAGCCATCAAACAGTGTAAAGCAGCAAGTAGGCTTAAGAAAAAAAGGGTGGCCAGAAGAAACCTATTTGTGCAATTATATCTAAGGAGCAGAGAACACTTAAACCAACTGAAGGGTCCTTGTCATAATTAACCTACACCTCAGCTTGGTATTTCCATGACACAGTTACTTTTCAATTGCATGTACACCTCTTTCATTGTTTTTGAAATTACTATAACACTTGTCAATATCATTTTACAGCAGTTTAAAGATGGTCCAGAAACACTATGGGGTTGATGTACCAAAGGCAAATAGGTTGTTCACTTTGCAGGGGATTTTTTTCTTTAGCTTAGTGAATGAGGTGAAGCTCATCTGACTTCCATCTTTCAATTAGGTGCCAGCAGACTTTTTTTTTTTCACTGCATTAACTAAGTTAAGGGAAATTTCCCATGCAAAGTTAAAATTTCTTGCACAGTAAATGGACTATTTGCCTTTAGTAAATCATCCACTATGACTCTATAAGCAGACATATCTCATGATTTTAAAAGGGGTATACTGGTGCTGACTGACTCTTTAAAAAAAAAAAAGCTAGATCCCTGGTGTCAATAACCAGAAGCAAGTATGGAGTTCTAGCTTCTCTGTAACTTTTTTAGCCTGTGTGCTTCCTCCAGTAGAGTAGCTCTCAAAAACCAGGGACAGAAAGCAAGATTTCTGAGGAGATCTGCAATGGCAACCCACATCTGTTTCCCCAATTAGATTCCTTATTGCCCTTGACACTTTTGACCTAATGAGAATGTAATTTTTACCCCCATTTTTTGTTGCCGTTCACATGGTAAGAGGATAATATAAACATCACAGCATCCTGCTTGTAAACAATATAATGGGGTTTACTTAATTTCCATCTGGTTTTCCTCTCACATATACTGTACTAATACAAGAGCATACTTTCATGTAGTCCAGTGCTATACAGCATTATCATATATACATCATGATATGAAAGATATCATTAAGGACACACTCTCTATAATGTGTGCCCAATGTGTAGAGCTGGTATGATGTAGCACGTCACTGTGTAAAAATGCAACTGGTCCTACTTTTTTTTGTAGCACACACCACTGTGTGAACTGAAACATTAGGACATAAGGCAAATTGTCTTGTCTATGTGTTAGGACTGAGTTAGGCAATGCTGTCCAATGCAGCCCAAAAGGGCTGATGTGAACAAGCCCTAATGTAAAATGGACACAGCAAACAGAACTGTATGTTTTGTGCAGTTCTTGATGATCAATAAACTACATGGTTGTGTAACTAAGAAAATAAAAAGATGCAGCATCTATTTACATGTTTAACAAACTTTTAACAAGCTTCATTTTTAGTTCCACTACCCACTGTCCTTTGTTGCATATTTTGATTACTGGATTAGCTTGGTAGAGTTTGGTAAAATGCTACAGTGATAAACACATTTAAAACTGAGAATACTTATGCAATAACATAAGTTCAAGTGCAAGAGTGTATATGTACATGGTAGACATTTTTTTCTTGATTGTTGTAGAGGCAAGGCCAGCACCAGAGAGAAATCCACTCCCTTATTCCTTACTGAGTATAAATGGTAATTTCCAGTCCATACCTCTAGCCCTGTTATCTACCAATCTATCTACACTATATAATGTGAATGATAAGGGACAGTTTACAGTACCTATAACCCATCTAGTTAAATTCCATGTTTTTTAGACATGTCTTTAACTAGAAACGTATGCACAATGTGCTATTTCTGTCCCTTATATATCAAATGGTACACAAAGAATAACTGTTGCAGACATATTATTTTCTGGAAAGGAGACAATGAGTGGATAGTGCTCAAAGTGAAGCAAACAGTTACCGTCCACTGTAAAGGAAAGTCTTTTACAACTTACCTGTAGAAGACATACTATTTAAACAACAATTAATAAAACAGTTTATTTATTTGAATCATAGTAACCAATTGTTACTTGTCCTGGCATTTCTGTAGCAAAGACTGTATATGTGTGTTGAATGGATAGCACATTTATAATACGGTGTCAATCCAGTACCTAAGATTTTTTTAGTAGCAAGCCACAATATACATGCCAATGTCTCACCATACGAAAGCAGCTACATCAGAGTTGTTAAGGGACTGTACCTCTATAAAAAATCTGATAAGTCAAAGGCTACTTTAAGTGGACCTAAACTCATTCGTATCCTAGTCTGGGCTAGTTTTATTATGACGTTTATTGTTATCCATGTTATCTACATAAATAGCCCTCAATTAAATTCCCCAGACTGAAGACTAATATTATTATTACACAATGACAAAAATTTTTTCACTACATCTACAACACATTACAAAACTCAAACTAAACAATGTTTTATTACACAGTACCTGTAATATTACATTTAACAAGAAACTTTACCTTCAACAACAACTGCAAAACATAAGTTACAGAAATACAAAATGCGGCAAATTATGCCCAGACAATTTTTATAACAGAATATAACAACACAATTCCTTGAACAAGATGTCAGTTCAGCCGAAAACAGGCTTCTGCTTTGTTCAATCAAACATTTGGCAGCAATAGTTGTGACTAAGATTTCCCTTTCTAGTAACAATGCTGCAAAAACAGTGGCAGGTTTTCAAGCCATGTTGACATGGATGATATTTGCCATGTATAAACCAAAATGGGTACCCTACCAACCAAACTACTCTGAACAGGTGTGGCAGATACAACATATTCTGTACTATTAGAATAAAACATGCTTGTCACTAAAGAAGTCATCTGCAAAAAAGGAAAGGAATAGAGGATGAAAGACTAAACGTTTGTGCATTGCTGTAATAGTAAGACATGTCTGACAGGATACTTCAATAACCTCATTGTGTTGAAAAAGAAAATTAAAGAATGTATTTAAAGTGGAACTAAAGCCAAAATTTTTTTTATTTGTTTTGCACAGAGTGGGTGAAAAGTAGAACCTTTCTTGTGTTTTTTTGGGGAGGCAATTAAATATCAGTTCATATCCTGGTGCTTGGAGTCTGATGGGTCAAGAAGTTAAATCTCCAACTGAAAACACAGAAAGTAATTCAAACAATGTTTGGTAATGTGGGGAACCTCCATTGGGTTTTTGTATGCTGGCTGTGTCCCTATGAGTAAGATACTCACATTACCCTGTAACCACTTGTAGTGCCGTTCACGGTGCTCTGCTGGTAAAAAATCCAGTATCTGACAGCAATGTAAGGGTGCAGGCTGTGCTTGATCCAAGAAGCAGTGAAGCATAAGGGGATGAGATTACGGGTGTGGCTTAGGAGGAGTCCATTCCTTTCCACCTGTTGAACTAGTGTTGTGTGGTGTCTCTCATCCCCTTATCCTTATGAATGAGGTTCACTTCATGTCAGAAAGCACAGGAAGTATGACCATATCTCTCAAGAAGGACCACAGACAGCAATAAAATCCCTACTATGGTTTTAAGCTATTTATTTATAGACTTGATGTGGGAATCTACTAAAGCCTCAAAGTATGTTGGCTACGATTTCAACAATTACACAAAGCACGGTTTGACTAAGAACTATTCATCCACCTTTACCATGATACCCAATTTAGGGTTTGCCCCTCCTGATGGGAGTAGGGCTCTCACTTAGGTTGTACTTTATTTTTTTACTAAACATGTGGTGCTTTGGAGCTGCTGGGTTCCATGTTCGTGCATGTGAGCAGGCTATACCTTTTGACAGATGATGGTCTCTGTTTTGCATCCAGATCTGTTGTTTATGCAATCAAATCATGATACAGGTTCTAACATTTCCCCACTTCATCCAAATTTTTTAAAAGGAGTATTCAGGTATATAAAAAGAAGGAAAAAACAACATATACTGTAGTAGCATAGGGATCTAATTATTAGTAATCCAGACTAGCAGATATATTTCACTGGCTATAGTTCTGGGGAAAAAAACACCAATACCAGATGTTGGGAGTTGGAAAGCACCCATTATGGTTTTTTTTTAACTATTGTGACATATTTGCAGAAAGGAATAAAATCAGAAAAGAGGCCTGCAGCATGTCTGTTTAGAGAAACAGGCACTCTTATCATCAGCAAACACTGATATGCCTATGTTAGCTGTCAGCAGTTCACTAATGGATACTACTTTTTTTTCTTATCAGGAAAAAGCCTTTACTGAAGAAATTGTCATATAAAGACAAAAAGTGAAGAACAATAAAGTACAGGTTCAACCAGTAGAAGTGGTGACACGTAACAATCCAGTAGAAGAACATCCAAATAAATACAATGAGA